GGGGGGGGGGGGGGGGGGGGGGGGGGGGGGGGGGGGTAGTAAGGGCCAGAATGAAAAACTAGTACTTGGGAGACCCAGGCTCATTCGAAGTTATTACAACTGTGTAAAATTATGACCTCTCTCTCTTCATACAGCACCATACAAGAGCCAAGTGTTAGGATTAAGCCAGAAATCTCCATGCAGGTCTAAAATAAAGCAATCCCAATGTATTTCCTATTCTTGCAGACCCGTTCACTAGAAGCTTCCTCTTACCAGTACTTTAAGATATGTTTAAGTCAGGTTAAGGCATTAACCCAAGGCTCACACTTGACTTTTGAGTATACCTGAAAGCCTAACACTTCTTTCTACTCAAATCTTATACCAAAATACTGGGGGAAGAAAAAGAAGGATGTGGTAGAGCTATTTTTTCCAGTCTAAGGGCTCCTTGTGCATTGCACTTACTAATTTCTTCCTGTTCCAAAAGATGAATGAGTCACCCCCTGGAACTGGTGACCACAGGGAAGTCCCTCCTGTCAGTTGCCCACCCCTCAGCACCCATGCCCAGGAGCGTGCCTCACATTCTGTAATGCTCTTGAAAAATATTAAGGGAAAGGAATGGTCTCCTAACAGAAGATGAAGCTTTGGATGGTACAATAGAGCTCATCCATGGTAGCTTCCACCAAGCACTTGGTAGATGTTTCCTGCAACCACAGCTGGAACCAAACGTGGATGCAGTTTTCCTTATTTTGTGATGCATACAAGCCCCTACCTATATTTTTGGCAGTGAATCCCATAGACCTGCAACCTGGCTCCATTCAGAACCGAGAAAGATCCTATACCGTTACCTTAAAAAGCAGCTGTCGTCATACAAGCCTGCCTGTAGGAAATACTATGGTGGCTTATCACCTGCTCGGGAAGGGGCCCATAAAATAACTACAGCATGAACTGTACAGGGGAAAAAAATCCAGACCCACCCAAAAAACAAAAGCTCAGGGACCTACCCTACCCTTTTTTTTTATGGTAGAGCCAGACAGAAGCAATAAAGAAAGTAGTGCAGGCAAGCCCTATCTGCCACAGCCTGTGCACTTCTCCTACACCCTGGGGGTAATGCCTTGCTGCTCCCTTTTATAGATTCATAGACACTGGGGTCGGAAAGGACCTCAAACACATCATCGAGTCCAACCCCCTGCCTGGGCAGGAAAGAGCACTTGGGCCCTATGACCCCAGCCAAATGCCTAGCCAGCCTTCTCTTAAAGACCCCCAAGGTAGGAAAGAGCACCTTCTCCCTTGGAAGCCCATTCCAGATTTTGGCCACCCTCACCATGAAGAAGTTTTCCCTGATGTCTAGCCTAAATCTTCTCTCAGTCAGTTTGCGACCATTGTCCCTTGTTACCCCAAGACGTACCCGAGTAAACACAGCGTCTCTGGCCCCTCGCCGCATCCCCTCTGAGCTGCCCTTCGAAAAACGTCGGCCCCCGCGCTTTTCTACAGGGACAGGCCGATTCCCGAGATCGGGACCTCCTTCCCGGCGACAACACACACACACACACGCGTCACGGCAGGCTCGGGGCACCGTAAAGACGCGCTGCCCGACACAGAGCTGCGCAGCGCTGTCACGGAAGAGACCCCCTCCCCAGACCCCTCTCCCAAACCGAGAGGACGAGGCTAGGGCCGGGCCGGGCCGGGGCCTCCCCAGCACACG